ACTACTACTACTACTACTACTACTACTACTACTACTACTACTACTACTACTACAACAACAACAACAGCCACACTACCTACAATAACAACAATGACAGCACCACAAACATCTTGAGTGGCGGTCCTTAGTTGAACCCTCTCGTCAGAGCGCTCTGGACAGTGTCGCAGCTCTAAATTTCTCTGTCAATAATACCCTCGGGCAGTAAACTAGGAGATTTTCCGCCCAGTCACCTTTAATCTGAGCCAGGACTCCCAATCTCAGTTGGAGCAAAAGCCTTAAGAATCGTACCCGGAATGAACTTCCACAAGTAAACTATTTTGTCGAATTCACCTATGTCTTTGGTGTAGCAGTTAGGCGCTTCACCGTCTCCTGCAGGGGACTGAAGTTCGATTCTCGTGTGGGTAGAATTGTTATCGAGTGTCTTGGTCTATGTGCTGGGACGTTCTAACTTTTCAGACCAGTATGACATTCTTCAGTCTCAGGAGACTATGGATCTGCGCCGTAGGAGATTTCTCGAGAGGAGCGCTTGCTGTTGCTGAACAGCAGACCAGTACGGCCTGACATACAGGGTCAAAGCCCGTCTTCCAAAAGATTTAAATTGTGTCCCCAAAGGCGTAAAGCAACACGTTCAATTTAAATGGACGAATTCTACTGGGAAGTCGTTGGAGTTGTTGTTATTGATTTACGGCACGTCAGCCTGATTTCATTGATTCGGGGGAAAATTTGACATTCCCTATCAGGGCCACGCAAGCTGTATTAGATACATCGCAGCAGAAAGACATAAATACTTAGAAAATGGCTTTCCTATTATAAGAATGGAACATGCGTCTCATGCGAACAAGTTGAAAAACCTACCTATTACACCACAGACACTGGTAATCCCTTTCTCACTGGGTAAACTAATTCACGTATTCAAATTTTAAGCTTTCGTATCAGTACCAATCAACCCCCTTCTCCAAACCCACCCACCCCACCCCCAAAAAAAAAAATAAAAGAGAGAAAAAAGGGGAAAAAAATCCTATGTCTGATGTATCTCTTACAAGGCGTAGCTGTGTTGAGGGACAGGCGACCCGTCTATAAAACATTAAACACCAAAAGCACTTACTTCTGGCAAATTATATTACAGTACTTCACTTGTCGTCTGCCAACATGGCCGTATTCGTCTGTCGTTGCTCCACACCTTTCCACAACAGTACTGGCCATAATCAAAAATCGAACCGGGACTCACTACAAGTATAATACTTGTTACAGTACTTCTTATACGGTAAAATACGTGAACCCTTCAGGTATATGTGTTAGTCGCTGTGATATAGCCAGTTGACAAATCAAGCTTACTTGTAGTGGAGCTCAGTTCAAGTGTCAATTGGTTCAAGTTGTTCAAGTCCAGATTACTTTTCATTCTCAGTTCTGTATCCTAACTATCGATCAAGTCTAGACCGAAAATAAATTTCTGAAGGTCGTTTAATCGCACCATATTGATATTTGTAACAGCTGGTATCAATAATGTTAACGATGCCATGCATATGCCGGTAATATCATTGTTAATTAATCAATCAATTTTTGTTTTAGCTCAATGCCCCTGGAAGCTAAGAAAAGGTCTTAACAAATAATAGGATAATGAGCACAGCATGCCTCTTGTCAGTCAAATATATGTTTTTTTCTTAAGTTTTTTTCTTAAGTTTTTTTTTAAAGACGTCTTTGGTCTAAATTTTAACCTGCTACGGTCAGTTCTACGTTGGCCCCCAACTATTCAGTTTCGTCTGCCTCATAACGCAGCACAAAAAAGCACTTAATCACCTCACTGCTTCGAGTTTCCAAGAGCGCGTCTGTCTCCGGGGGAGCTTTTAAATTCTAAAACCAGATCGATATCTTTAAAAATCAATAATGATATTGTTAAAGAGTTCGTTACATTGAATAGGCATTGTAAAGACGGGGGCTATAACGTCTCGTACGCACATACAGTCCGAAACAACAGTTGATTCAATAAGAACTACACGCATTCTTTTTAATCCAAATATTGATAGTGTGATATCGTAATAATTCATAATTCCAGTTACAAACAAAGAATTTAATAACGTTTACTGATTATAGTATCCGTATAAAGAAAAAGAAAATAAACTAGCATTGGGTTAGGTTTTTAGGTAAAAGCACTTGTTAAGGTTTGAGATATTCAGTTTGGGGAGGGAGGGAGGGAGGGAGGGTGGGTGGTAGGAAGTAAGTGCGCCTGTAAAATAAGTGCATTCTGTCAAAAGTGTAAACATGCTCAATTCTTTTTTTAGTTGTAATGAATAAGAAAAGGGGGCTCATTTCCATATTTCATAGAATGAATGTTGTTGCTTGTCTTTTCAACTTGAAAACTGGTAAAAACACAATGGAAAATCTGTTTGAATTATGAGGTCATGCATCAAAGCAGCGTGTCTTCTAAAGCCATGGAATGACCAAAATGCGTGTCCTCAATGAATAAACTTTAAAAAACTTGCATAATATGTCCCAAAAAAATAACAAAACATTATTTTGTCCCACAAAAATAACTAAACTAAGTTAACAGTTTCTCTAATCTAATACATCTGCGTAATATGACCTCTCAGGCCAGCCGTAAACCCCTCCCAGCAATTTAATATTGATCATCTAATATGTTGACATTTCCCCTATTCTCTCCTCTATAGACGCCTTGACAATTTCCAAACAATTTTCCAATTTCCTAAAGAGTTTAGTTGGGGTTTTTGTCTGTTTGTTTGTTTGTTTGTTCGTTCGTTTGTTTGTTTGTTTGTTTTTGCTCCCCCACCCCCCTAAAATCATAATAATTGCACATTTTTAAACGTAACTTTCAAATATCTGGCACGAAATCAAAACACGTGGCAAAAAAAAAAAAGAAAAAAAAAAGGATTTATAAATTCTCACCCAAACAACTTGCATACGAAGTCCACAATAGACATTCAGAGTACAGAAAGAATAAAATTAGAAGTAAAGTTCTTCTAATCTAAAGAACTGATATATGACCTCCTAAGCCAGCCGTAAACCCTTCCCAGCAAATCTCTATCTAATAAAGTGTTGACATTTCCTTCCATTTTCTCCCTCATAGATTTCTTGACAACTTTCAAACATTTGTCCTATTTCCTTATATGTTTAGTTTATTTTTGTTGGTGTTGTGTTTATTTGTTGTTGTTTTTTCAAAGGGTTTTCCCCGCTAGAATTATGACAATTACTACGACTTGCTGTGTTGACACCTTTTTTTTACGTAACTTACAAATATATGGCACTAAATCAGGACACGTGAACAAAACAAAAAAGCAACAACAAAGAAACAAAAAAGAAAGGAAAGAAACGGAAGGACAAATAAATATTCAACCCGAAAACTTGCATACAAAGTCAGAAACAAACTTTAACAGTACAAATAAATGAAAAAAGCGATTCTTCTAATCTAAAGGATTGACATATGATCTCCCAGGCCAGCCATAAACCCCTCCCAGCAAATCTCTATCATATAAAACGTTGACATTTCCCCCGTCCTCTCCCCCATAGACGCCTCTCATCACACCAATCACAGACGATTCGATCTGTCGGAACCGGGATCTGGGGGTGTAACCGTCCCTCACGGAACGACACAAGGTCACGAGGTCAGGGGTCAATGTCATGCGCTGCAAGATCGTCTCCAAACGCTGTGACCTCTGTCTGACCTCCCATTGGTCCGGCGTGAAAAAAGTGACCATGGTGTTGTTGGGTTTGTTGTTACCGTCACAGAGCTTGAAGTGGTGGACCTTGTCGTTGTTGAAGGTGGAGGGCGAGACGTACCAACAGACTCCCACTTCCGACAGGGCGTGTAGCTGTGGTTCTGTCAGATTGTGCAGTAAACTCAATAGCTGTGACAATATTGATATATGTTGTTTTTTCAAAGATGACGTTGCTTTGATCGTACAGAAAACTTCCTCGACAGATAAGCCAGTTTTTGGTCTACGATTCCGAACGTTGAATATCCTTTCATCAAGAATATTATACAGTTTTACCCCACAGGGATGGAGAAATATATCTCTTGACGTACTATTAAAGTGGCACTTATTATTCGAATTAATGATAAAAGTTATCAACATTTGAAAAATCCCGTCAGCCGCCGATTCTGTTTCAATAGTCTTTCCACAAAACAGTTTTTCTACCCAAAAACTAATACGTTGAATGTAGGCTTCATCTATACCAGCCTTGTAAAGAGGTAGCACACTCGCTTCACAACCAAAATAATCTTCATCTATGTCCAGAATATAGCCAGACGATTCTTCAATTTGTTCAAATTGCCCTGCTTTCAATGAGCGCATCAAGGCCGTCTCACTCACCACTTCCACACGCACTCTCATCTTCTGAAGACAACCGGCTTGGGTTATGTTTGTTCCTAACATATCTCTAGGCTCTGACGAATTAAATCTATAACAATAGTTGTACCTCCCGTCTCCTGCAAGCCCCTTTGATGGTGGAGAATTTAAAGCTGTGACGCAGAAACAGAGATCAATAATTGGTTCTGATCCATGAGCGATAGGTCGAAGCCAGGTTCCGGTAGTGACGTCAACGATCATGTGGTCACTGTACATAGTCTTTAGGTTTTCCTCCTCGTCCCAGCTCGGCCAGATCCAAACAATTCTGGAGAACATTCCAGACAAAGATGCCGCCTAATTTGAGAGAATAAAATTGAAAAAAAACACGTAAAATATAAAAGCAATCCAAGATAACTTTCATTAAAATTTGATACATATGGACCCTAAAGCATTCTCCATATATCCCTAATGTTGGGTAATAATGGTGCTCTGCACCACCACCACCACCACCACCACCACCATCATCATCATCATCATCATCATCATCATCATCATCATCATCATCATCATCA